TGGAATCTTAATACTACCATTGTATATGAATAGAAAGTCTAAAAATAATTAACCTTTGGTATTATGATTAAGCTTTATACAATTCTAAGTGCAATTAATCAAATATAATTTCCCTAATACAAAACTAGCAAGGTCAAGGATCATTAGCTTAATTACATTTCCTTCGTATTATGCTGCTGACTTTTTTTTAAAAAGCCATTTACTTAGAAGTCTACAATCTTTTTGGCTGAAGTACAATAAAAAAAATAGAGGTTATTACTGTTGCATTCTTTGAACTGATTGGGTATGCTCTACAAATAGTTATAGGAATAGCATCTTCAAAAAATAATAAATCTTTCAACATCTAAAACAAATCCAGATTCCACAAGACCTATGTTTGTCTAATTATAGCTTTGTATTTTGATGTGGTTTTCTATGTAAATACATTTTTAAGGCTTGCAATTGGAATGTACTCTATTAAAAGCAGATGTTAAAAGATTCAAAGTACCAAATGCTTATTATACATTCCACCCCCAAAAAAATCTAAATCACCTTCTTATAAGATATTTGGAGTTTCAAGGATTATTTTCGATCACCAATCTAAAAGATAAATATAACTGTACAAATCAACCAATACCTTTGTTAGAACAACTAAAATAATTAAAACCAATACAAAAATCTAGACTTCTACAATTCAGTTTATTGTCCAGCCTAGCACCTAGTGAACACTGAACTCTCCATTGATTATAAAAAAACCATATTTTAAAAATTGTAAAAATGAATACTTGCAATAAGTAAATAAAGCTAAAGCAGAGATTCACACATGAAATACACTTTTTTTCCTTTCTATAGCTGTCAGTATTACAGCAGATACACTCATTCCCCCTAGTTTCTCAACATAGCAGAGAAAAAAAAAACCCTTTTATGACAATTACTGCTTCATGTAAGAATGTTTAGGGGCACTATGTTATGCATAACACATGAAAGCAGCTGAATGATAAATGCTTCTTTTCTCATCATGGTTATGAATTTTACAACATAAAACCTTTTTTTAGAGGTTAGGTCATCAGCTACAATGGAAAGATTAAGCAGGATACTAAATGTCCAATTCCTTGGCATTTAACATCTGTATTAAATGTAAATTTTAAAGAATCCCTTCACTATTCCCCCTCCCCCATTTATAATAAATAGCAGATTTACCTATCTATTTTTCTAATCATACTTCCAGAGGCTAAAGCCCAACAATAGTTCTTAGCCTAATTGTCTGGGCAGAGTATTTTAATCTAATAAATAGAAGAGACTCAGGATGAAGGTCGTTTGTGGTACATTAAGTGGTTGCACAAATACTGGTAATATATTTTTAAAATAACACAGATTCTTCTTATTCATCCCTATTAATTTCTGTGTGCAAATTTACATCACAAGTAGCATGTTCCTTTGCAGACATGATAAACATTAGACATTACTTACTAGAAGGATGTTTTAGGGAGCTGGTTCTTTTGTGTCATGGGGTGAATAAAAGGTGTCATCGGTTGACATTTGGTGGAGGTTAACCACAGCAGCTCCCTGCCTCTAACCACCCTCTATACAGCAGGCGAGCAATGGCCTCATTTTCACCGCATGCAAAAGCTCCTGTGTACAAGGCTCAGATCACTCATAAGCTTTTATTTAACTGGGCAAATGTCATGTGAGGCCACCTCACAGTCCTTGTGCTTGTCAAAATTTGTTAGAATATGGAAAAGCTTTTCAAAACTTGTCCACATAGCATTTTATAAGCCTAACTGTAGTTATTTAAAAGTCAAATGTATATGGAAAAGACTAAAATTCCAACTATTTTTAAAGAATATATTCTGGTCTCTACATGATATTTAATGATATTCACATGAAATATTTTGCATCACATTTATGACTTCATTAGGAAGAACACAGGTTCTGGGGCCAGATGCCTGGAGTCTGACCCCTAGCTCTGCTCTTCCTAGTATGGAAAAAATCATGAGATTCACCTAAGACTTCAGCTCTCTATGTTGTGAACTGAGAATGATGATGTCTGTCTCACAGAAGTGAGGATAAGGATAGTAACTAGCATGCAGTGGACAACTCATATAGCCTGACTTGTTGTTGCCATGGTTGCTGTCTTGTTATAATTACTATTAGTTACTCTTAACACCACGTTTCCCAAAGGACACAGGGTTGACCAGAAACTTCTTTCAGAGACAGTCCTTACTACCCAAATCATTCCAAAGTAAATGCTCTCCCTCTATTCATAAGCTTGGGTTACATTTAATTTAATCTTTATTTGGCCATGGAAGATCTTGAGGTGATTTAAGTTATTATCCACATTAACAATCACTGATTATGCTGACAATAGAGGAGAGGGTAGATTAAATGTTTGCTGGCATTGCTACAGCATTCCTTAAAATTGGGCCAGTGTGTATGTGTGTGGATATTTAAACACAGGCATCATATAAGATTGATTTTTCTACTTTTCTCTTTGCCCCTTGAGAGATGGGGTTGTTGCTATTTTATATTAGCAGGTTAATACGTAACTCTGGTGTATAAATGTCACACTCATTTGCTTATGAACAATTACGTCACCTTTGTCTGATTAGCTGCCATGTCAGCTAATCTCTTGAGGTGCATAACTTCAAAATAAAGGAGAGATGAAGAAATCAGCACAGAGTAAACTTAAATATATGTTTCAAGAGAAAAATATAAGATTCTTTTATCTTTAGTTCCTTGGAGGAATGGAAAATTTAAATACAAGATATTCATCATTACTACTAGTCTGAATGTCCAGAGAATAACTCACTTTCTCCTTACCTGAAAGGGCAATGTACCCTACTGAAGAATCCTCTATTACCATCCTGCAAATGTCTCTACCATGACAGTAAAAACAGCACAGGCACCTCATTAAACACCAGTGCATTCAACCCCAGTCTTACTTTCAAGAAGACAGATCACAGAAAAATTATTTGGCTATTTTTAAATATTTAAAGAAAAACAGAACTTCCAGCTTCCACTGTATATAAGAAAAATCACTTGAAATACTGCCATAAACATACGCCACAGCATTAAAGGCTATTCATTTTACTGGAAATGAATCACGAGGTACCAAAATGTCTGCACATACAATAAGTGTACATTTCCCATAAAACAGGGAACTATTTGCATGCATCCTGAAAAGTCCACTTTCCTTAAACAAAGTTCTAAATGTCTCCAGGGAATGGAAGAGATAGATTTTTCTCCTCAGTAGGACAAAGTTATATAACACTGTGTTTCTTGAGTAAGATATCATTTTGCAACACGTTTTTTTCTCTACCATACAGGAAAAGAAAAAAATTTTTTCATCCTTCCAGAAACAGACCTGAAATGCAGAGCTCAGAACCATGACCCAGGCTAAGAAACTGCTGAACAAGCTTATCAGGAGTCATGATGGCCATGGTTTCACAGACCTTGTTTGAATCCGGAGGTTGACAATGACATCATTATCAATAACCACAAATTGCAACTTTGCCAAAGTTTCTTACCTACAGTTTATGAAACATCTTAATGACAGAGGTGATTGTGCTGAGCTGGTGCTCGATACAGATGTGCTGGTTCCATGCAAAGTGGCCAGCTCATGTCAACTAGTTTAACTGGTAGCTCTGGCAAGCCATAAATCACACTTCAGTAAGCTAAAAACTGAACATTATGCCGAACAGAGCATGAAATCCCAGTCTCAGGCAACATGTGAGACATCTTTTTTATCTGAATTCTCCTAGTATAAAAAGTGATACTGGAAGTGGAGGAGAGCACGGTTTGGTTTTCTGAGAATTTAGTTACTGGACAAGAGACTTCCCATGCCACAATGTGCCCACTGTCAAGCAACAATTCTAGTGGTCTGGCTCTCCTCAGAGTCTGCACTCTCTATCCCTACTCCTTGCCCAACCACCTTCTCCATCTTTGCCACAGTCTACGAGAAGGGATTTGATGATGGTCTCATAGCACTGTCTGCTAATACACCATGGAAGAGTTTGATCTCTGCCAGAGAAGAAGACATGGTTTTTTCCATTTACCATTACTCCCATTAACACTTTCACCCTGAGCTTGTTATTATGACATGCATGGTTTTCTGGTTTTTAATCATTGTTGTACATAGTCATAGATATTTGTAAAGCCCTCCACCCTCAGTAAGATAGTTTTTTAATTTAACAAATGCTTATAGTCTACAGTGTGTCAGGCATAGTTTCACTTACTACAGTTACTGACCTATGGTTATTCTAGAAACCAGCTTCAGTGCAATAAGAAGTGCAGAAAAATTCAGCTACATCATGTTTGGGTTTCCATCCTTCTGAGAATAATAAAATGTCAGGGGTCAGTCTCTCACTACAACCAGCCAATGGTCTGGCTCTCCCACTCGAATCCATCCTTTTCCTGGTTGGATTTGGCAGGATCCAAGCATGAGGAGGGCTTCTGCTCTGAAACAGGTATCAGTGGAAACAACCCTGGATCATGTTCCTAGCTACAACTTCTAGGTTGGAGACAAAAATTCAAGTCATAATTCCATTAGCAGGTCCTCATCTCTTGCCCTGACTCATGTCACAAGTTAGATCAAAGAATATAACATGGAATGGAAATGTTACAAGTAGATCTTCCATAATTTAAGTACAGTGTGACTGCTTAGCTGAGTTCTAACATCTAATTGCTAAATATCAATCACATTATCACTAAGGATTGGACTTCTTATTCTTCTCTGCCCACTTTTTATTTCCACCTATATTAGCACTCAGTTTTCAATCAAGCAAAAATGAATTTCTAAACACCCACTTCTGCAACGGTATTACCTTTTGGAACTAGGTATTATAACATTACAAATAAAAGAGTTAGGACATTATCATTTGAAGCAGAATATCTGCTGCCAAAATTAAACTTTGCTATCTGCATACAATCCATAGTATATAAATTTTGAAACTTTTCTCTAATTAAAGTTCACACTTGTGCCAGAAACCCTGCCCAAGCTCAGAAAGCACAAGAATACTCACTTGTTTGGCCTTCGTCTTTGAGATGGTATCAGATATAGGTTTTTTCCTCTCCTTTACAGCAGTTTTAGAAAATAATTCCTCAAATTCATGGCAATCTATGGATGGCTCTTCAATTTTTTCCCAAATAAGTGAGGGACTGGAGTCTCTAAAATTAAGAAAAGAATGATGAAAGGGCCATCAAACAGAACTACACTGTAGTGAGTATAAAGAGAAAGGGAAATGGGAAGGAGGGGAGGAGAGGAAGGGAAGGGAGGGGAAGGCAGGGAGAGAAAAAAGAAGGGGAGGGGGGAAGGAGGAAGGCAGGGGTCAGTCAAGGAGGAGGAAGGCGTGAGAAATAATGTTGTATCAACTTGATGAGAAAGTTAAAATGCAACCCATATACAATTAAACCTTTGCCTAAAAATAATTTCCAGTAATTCTAAGTTATCACAGCGCAAAGATATAAGAGGAAGATCCCTTTCAGAGTGGACTATGAAGGCCAGATACCACACAGTGCCACCTTGACTGGTTAAATCATACTTCAAGGATAGCCTCCCCCATCCCTCCAACCTCCCCTGCCCACTGTTACTTGGTTCCTCACTGACTACAGGCTCATTTAAAACTACCTGAAAAGGGCAAAAGCATTTTTTTTTAAATCAAACTTTATATCATCTGTCTGGAGAAAATGAGTTTGGGGCATGATTTAAAATGATTTTTGTTTTTTTGTTTTTATTTAAAGAGAAAAAAGAAAGGACATAAAAAAACAAAGCAGTAAAAAGGTAATGATTTAAAATGATTCATCAGCCTATATAAGTGACATGATTTCTACACTGAGAAAGAACTGCATAGTTAAATAAAAAAAAAGTAGTCAGTTACACAGACTCTTGCTTCCTGAAGAGAAAATTCACACGCAAAAATGCAAATGGGCCTGGTAAACACTCTGATTCTAAATTCTAACAGCAATCACAAGTTAGACGGAAGAAGGCCAGCGAAGTTTAAACTACATATTTTTCCCACCCCTGCCAAGACTCCTAGCATTGTCTCAGTGACCCGGGAACATGGTCATGGACCATTAATGAACAGTAGGCCACCAACCAAACCCAGTGAAACATGTTCTTTTACGATCATCATTCCCAACTCTGATTTTATGACCTCATAATCAGCCATAGAAGTGCCATGAAATTCTCAAAATTAAATTTTTTCACATATGGAGTGTGTACATTTTTATACAATGAGCTTCTAAAAAAAAGATTCCTACAAACTGGACAAGTAAAGCACGTTTGGGCCTTTTAGAGGATGCCAGCACCGTCCTCGGGAGTCGGTTTGACTAAGGATTTGATCTACATTTGTACACTGCTGTAAGAAATGGAAACTTAAATAGGGAAAACAGAGTAGGTTCATGTAGGGAAAACAGTTGGGCTAGAAATGCTTATCAGTCTTTACTCGTTTTGCATTATAAGTAGTAGATTCAGGCATGAACAAACATCAAGTCCTGCAAATAGGAAACAGAGCACACATGAAAAAAAAAAAATAGACCCTTCTGTCCTTAAAGGACGTGTTGATAACCCTAGATGGATATATGTACGCCTCATATACTGCTATATTTTATACAGTTAAAATATTATATAGTATTTATACATTTATTTTGTTACATATATAAATTGTTTTAGCTCTTTGACACTGCCTGAGAAAAGACTGAAATTTAAATAACTGTTTCACTAAATATTGATGTAAAAATCTATACAAAAGTTTTAAGAGTCGCACACAAATAGTGTATTAAACTGTACTTTTTTCCAAAAGCCATCAGTTACATCGCTCTCTTCACACTGACTGTGCAAAGATGAACTTGCATTCATGTTACCTTTTACTATGAAGCTGGATTCTTGTCCAATAAAGAGGCTTCATTGGCCGACAAGGCTCTATTGGCTGCTTCCTAGTTCCTCTGTCCTGATTCATCCCTAATCCAAACAAGCCACTTGGCAATGGAGGAGGAAGAAATCCACAAACTTGTGGTGTTGTTAAAGTGCTGGTCCCAACTTGTGGGCAGAGTGGAGGGTCTGATCCAGGGAGCAGAGGAGGTGGTGGGGGTGGGGGAATTCCTGCCCCAGAGGGAGCCAGAGGCAGGGCAGCAGTAGGCAGAATTCCCATACCTGGCAATGGAGGAGGTGGAGGAATCCCAACTCCTGGAAGGGGAGGAGGAGGGGGTACTCCCACTCCAGGAAGGGGAGGGGGAGGGGGTACTCCCATCCCTGGAAGGGGAGGAGGAGGGGGTATTCCCACTCCTGGAAGGGGAGGGGGAGGGGGTATTCCTACTCCTGGAAGGGGAGGGGGAGGGGGTATTCCCACTCCTGGAAGGGGAGGGGGAGAGGGTATGCCCATTCCAGGAAGGGGAGGGGGAGGGGGTATTCCCACTCCAGGAAGGGGAGGGGGAGAGGGTATGCCCACTCCAGGAAGGGGAGGGGGAGGGGGTATTCCCACTCCAGGAAGGGGAGGGGGAGGGGGTATTCCCACTCCAGGAAGGGGAGGGGGAGGGGGTATTCCCACTCCAGGAAGGGGAGGGGGAGGGGGTATTCCCACTCCAGGAAGGGGAGGAGGAGGGGGTATGCCCACTCCTGGAAGGGGAGGGGGAGGAGGTATTGCCACTCCAGGAAGGGGAGGGGGAGAGGGTACTCCCACTCCAGGAAGGGGAGGGGGAAGGGGAGGAGGCCGAGGAAGAGGAAGTACTCCTTCCCCAGGAAAAGGGGAAGCAGGGGGTGGCAGCATTTGAGAACCTGGCAGAGGAGGAGGTGGGGGGACTGCTGTACTGGGCAGCGCAGGCACTGTCACACCAAGGGGAGGTGGGAGAGTCTCCACACCCAGGACAGGTGTGGAACTGGAGGACTCTATACAAGGCAGAGGTGGTGGTGGTGGGATGCTACAACTGTTTCCAGAGGAGGAGAAAACAGCATGTTCATGGCTGGTTTCAGAGCCAGTATGAAGAGAAGGATGCGAGGCTTGTGACCCAGGCTGTTCCTGACCATCAGGCAACAGAAAGGATGGAGGTGGTGGAGGTTGTGACACATCCGGTAGGGGCTGATGGGCATCGAGCTGTACTGATATTCTCCTTGAAGACACAATCAAAGAAATCTCAGAACAGAATTTTGTCTGAGGTCCAGATGCTAAAGATGGAGCAGAAGGCTCTCCAGTCTCAGCCCCAGACAGGCACGGAAGGCCTTCGAATGGAAGTGCCAGCATCCTGCCCTCTTCTGTCGGAGAAGTCTGTATGGATTTTGCCTGTACAATACTTTGATGGTGTACATCCTTTTCTCCTAATCTGAGGGCTTCCAGACAGACGTCATCTGAGGCTGTCACTCCATTGTCAACCCTCTGATGGCTGCTGGCCACCTCCATATCCAGGGCAGGGTATTGCTTCTCTAGTTCAGCTATTTTGGTCCTCAGATCCTCAATGGTCTGCTCCAGCTGCTGAATTACAGTTGCCTGTCCCTCAGACTTCATGTCGAAAATGTCCTGAGGGGGAACAAGGACAGACACAGTTAAATATGAAAGCAGGAAAAATCCCAATGTCCTAAAAATAATTAGAAAATTAAACAAAATTGTATTTGTTCATTGCAATGCTTACAGGGAGATCCTTCTACAGAGAAACTCCACTAATATGTCTGTATGCCCTCTTAGTCTATCCTTGGATTTAAAAGTGGTTCACATGCATTGCCACAAGCCCTTAAGCTCCTTATTTGCCTCATATGCAAAAGATATGGAGGACAAGCAGATGACAGAACAGGAAAGAAGATTCTGAGTGACAGTTTATTTCTAAGATAAACTTGTTTCCTGTGTAGGGACATTTACTATTAGGATATTCCTTAAAGACACTTTCAAAGTAATTCTGAGTCTTAATGGAAGTCATTATCTTTTAAAAATAATCACTGAATTATTTTTAAAATACTATTTCTAATAAGTGAACTAATTTTAACATTTGCAAGGGCATGTGTCATGTCATACACGTCATATTTAGCACGATTTTTATATTTTACTCAAGGCATTCCAAAAAGCGATAATTGACAGTTTTCCACAATATTTTAAGGTATACTATATTAAGTGTTCATACACACATGCATACACCACCTAGGTCATTGTTTTTCATCAGTGTCTTACCAAAAGACTAAAATATTATATTACACAGTTTAGAAAATTGTGCTATATTTTCTAAGTAGTCTATGGTAAACTAAATAACTATTACAAACATTTTTAGCATCCTCTTTGACTACTATTAATCTCTCACTATGGTGCTACAAGCAAACAAGAAAAAAACCCTAGCTTTCCAATTCATCCTAATGTAAGTACGTACAACAATTCAATGTTTCACTGTTACTCTGAATCAGCTAAAGGTACAGATCATATTAACGTTCCCAGTGTATCCTTAGAAGTGACGGTTAATCCCTAATTGGTATTTCATTAGTTATTTCTGTTATATAACTAAAGTTCTTATTTTCCCGCTCATGATTACCAAATAGAAAGGTTAATTGATTAACAGCATGCAGAAGTAGATTCTGGGAGAATTTTCCAAAACTAAATTTTTAAATATTATTACCTGGGGCAGTGCTTTTGCATCATAGATTTGACTGTAATTTTTTTTTAAAGTGTGAAAATGAAGGACACTTAGTAAGACAGACCAAAAAAGACCCATGATGAAGAAATGAGACCTAGCACAGTAACAATTATTCCACACCCTCTACACGGATTGATGTCCACACAGTCACAGGCCAGCTACCCAACACAGAGCCTGGAGCACGTGACAACAGACATCACAATTCAGGCACAGACAATATCTAGAATTTATAAATCTTAATTTACATAGCTAGACAGCAAAAGATAAAAAAGAATCCTATTACAAATGTTAACTGGCACTAGAAAAAGACTTGTGTAGGAACCCAGCTTGATGATTACAGCCAGGCTGAGTCTTAGCACAGGGACTCCCCACAAGTAACCCTGATCTGTTTCCCCTGCACTGTTTCCCAGCATATGATAAACAGAAAACAACATGAGAGTGGTGTGTGGAGATTTACAATGGAGCCTGCCACCAACAAACACCCCGACTCTTTGAGATAAGCATGAGATAAGCATTTGTCCTAACCAGTAAGTACTTACCTCACTCCTTGCCCAAGTCAAGGGGATTCACTGGTCTTGCTGTTGCCCAGGACCACACCTTTGCCAGTGTATTTACAAACACTGTATTTACACTGTATTACACTGTATTTACAGACTCTTCTGCAGCCAGGTTGATCCTGTTAGATGACACCTAAACGTCACACCTACGTTTAGAAGTGAGAACCATGCTTCTCTGTGTCCTGATTGCTCACTGACAGTGACAATGTGAAAATTTGAAGTTTCCCTGGGACAACACTCCAATATCCACTCTCCACTTTGCAATAGTGATCTCCAAGGTTTGAGCCTACCTGCAGACCGTTATTCAAAAGCTATGAAAGTTCAAGTTTAGAAGCAGATCCTTTAAGCTTTCCAAATTCCCAAAAGAATATTTTATTTATGTAGTAAACCCTTCTGTTATTTGACCTAGTGTATTTTCTAGCTCCTACAACAAGGCTTTACTGGTAAAAGCAGATACCAATATTTCAGAATAAGTTGTGGAAAATTCAGCATTCTTTCCCTAAGAGAAATTAAAAATTAAGTAACTGTATCACCTTATTTTTTAAAAATGATTTATTATACAATGATATCTTGGTTCACAAACAATTTGTCTCTACAGCTTTAGGAAAGATGGCCACATCGGTGTTTGTGTAAAAGACCCCTGTGGTCATGTTTGTTACCCAATGCAGAGTTTGCAAATAAAAACAAAATTTTCATAAATTCTTCTGTTCGCAAACCAAATCATTTGCAAACGCAAGAGGTTCATGAACTTAGGTGCCACTATAAAAGCATACACAAATTCCTACATTTAAAATTAGTTTCAATGCAATTTTTTGGGGAGAAATGTATGATGCTATAGTATATATGAGAAGTTGTTGGGGACCATTAATTCACAATGGCTGATTTTGCATACTTCCTTAAGAGATGATAAAATGGAAATTTGGGATTATCAGTACCTCCTATTGAGATTTCCCATCTACTCTTCTTACTGTATGATCATCTGTATCCTCTTGAGTCATCACAGGATTATACTCAAGGACATCCTTCTTACCATAAGATCATCTACACCCTTGTGAGTCTGAGTTTTCTGCTGAACTGTAATCCTTTGCTAGCTCCATCTATCACTGTATACACCTAAAAATAGTGGCTGCTTTGGGAGTGAAAGAGGACCCATCTGGAGATACTGACTTCCCAGGCATTGATGCAATACTAGTCTCTGTTTTTTATTTTTCTTGCCGTACTCTTAAGCCAGACAATCGGGACTCTTGGCCAGGCTCCCAGTAAGCTTATAAAAAGATGTTCATTTCTGGTAATATTTGAGAATCTTGTTAATTTCTCAATGACCTTTGATAATCGTAATGTGCAACTTCATTTTTTTAGATATATCTATCACACATAATCACCCTTGCCATATTACCTAATTTTGCCAGGTACTCATGAATCAGTCACTCTGTATATGATTCAAGTACTCCACTATCACCTTCCCCAACTTCAAGAAACCAAATACTACCTGTAAGATTAGCAATTTTGTCTTACGTTATGCCTGTATCATATGACCTAAAACATCCTAAAATCACTGCTCAATTCACTCTGCCAAAACTAAAGCAAACAGATAGTAACAGATGGTCTATGTCAGAAGGTTAGGGGTGAAAGATTTCAAGTCAAACCTGATTTTATAAATGGCCTACTTATTAATATGTATTTTTTTATATTTTACTTATCTTTAAACAGGTCATCAAGAGCACATAATAGTAAAAAATTTTTTAGAAAATGAGGTACTGATATACATTATAACCTTTAAAAGTTTCAAATGTAATAAAAACTAGAAGAAGAAATAACAGAACAAGCTAAAAAGACTAAAATTCCAAATGCAAATCTATAATAGAGCAGAGTTAGCCATGTGGTGCCAGGAGGTGGCAGAGTTAAAGAATCTTGAAGATAACAATAAACAAACCATACAACAAAAAGACTGAACTTTTTACCGAGAACTTTTTTATATGGATAAGTTTTATAGAGAGACGTCACTAAAGAAAAGCTGAGGTGAGAGATTATCTATCTGATTCTCACATTGCTCTCACTGTAGCAAGAACAACAAAAAATTAATTTGCTAGAATCGTCATTCTCCTCCACGACCCAGCCTTATCCACACCATAAACTGCTGACTCTGAGTCAATGTAATAATCCTCCTTTTCCATTTCAGGAAACAGCAATCAACCTCATCTCAAACCTTACCTCAATAGCCTATAAAATAAGGCCACCCACTCACTGTTAAGGTAGCCAAATGTATACAGCATTTTTGGTTCAGCTAAGAGTCACCAAAGAATCTTATCTGTCCTTTCTTATCCTGGCTATCAGTGGAGTGATCACTGGCTCTCAGAAAAAACCAGTTCTCAGTGTCAGCAGAGACTTTTTCTCTCTGGAGAAGCCTGCCTTACTTGTTGGCAATTAAGAGCTAATTTCTCTATAAGTTCTTTCCCAGAGATTTATAAAGAAATGTACATGATAAATATTGATCATTATGAAGAAAAAATATCTTATTTTCTGATCATTTGGTCAAAGATGTTACCATAGGAAGTAAGGAAAAGATCTGCAGGACGCACTCACTGACAAAGCCCAGATTTAATCTTTAAGAGACTTCGAGGAGCTCAGAAGTCTCTAGAAAGGGCTCAAGTTAGGAGTCTGCTACCCTAAGTCCATTTCCTGGAACTTGTTCTGTGTCCCTCCAGGGTACAGCTAGAGGGTGGCCTCGCAGATTCTCAAGGGACTTGACACTGGAGAAATGTACTTTCATTATCTTTAGACTTCACTTATCAAAAAGACACTCAGCATTTCCAGAATTTATGCAACAGTTTACTCAGTGTTGATGGTTCTTACAATCAACAATTAAATAATATTTTAAAAGATGAAATGGAAAAACAGGATCTTGGCAATTTTGGATAGAATTTATGTAATGAGTAGATCCTTATAAATGGAGGAAAGATAAACATATTTTTAGTCAACACAATAAGTAATATACTTGAAGTAGTATTTGAGATTATTTATATTTTAAAATATTGTTTCAAAACTTTAAATCATTAAAAGTGATAGAGTTTGCCATCCAGTTTGGCTCAACAATTATATACAGTAAGTCAGCCAAAATTCTTCCATTCCTGTACAACCTTATATGTGGGTGGTGACAGTTAGTTCTTATAAATTGTTTAAACACTTGCATATTATGAAATACAAATTGCCATTGAAAAATAAAATGTTCACCAAAAAGCATTTCTCCAAATGCAAGATTATCTGATTCCCAGAAAAAGAAAACATTGCTGTAACATTAAGGTTACAACTGTCAAGGAGGAAGCCAAGACACACTCAAGTAAAGCTTT